GATGGAACTTTTCTCCCCATCTCCTCCCATGAGGAGCGGTGCTGAAGCAAGCGATGATTCATTGTTTTCCCGGGGAAGCGCACGGAACAAGGCGCATGGCGCGAAGCGCCAATACAGTCTGACATGTTTCAAGATGGCAGCACCTGTCCATACTGTGGACATGACAACATCTTTTGGGGGAGGGGGAACTCGGGGATTGGGGAGACATCGCCTGCGACTTCCTGTTCCCAATTTCACGTTCGCCGCCTTCTGCCTGTGGATCCACCGCCATTCTGCTTCCGCCAACCTTCCGCCGGCCTTCCGCCCGAAAGCGGGAGGCGCCCGAAGCGAGACCCGCTCTGGAACCCGCTGGGCAAACTCTTGCGATCCCCACACTTTTGCAAGAAGGAACACGCATGCTACGCATTGATATAACAAGAGAACGCGCGGATAGCGTGCATGAAAGTTTTGGGGTGGACCAATTTCGTTGGGGGAGCTCGATCACGGGAGGCCCAGGGACCTATAAGAAGCATCGCCAGAAGGGAAAGCAGAGATGAGAGAGGAGAGGCGAGGATGGACGACAGAGGAGGGAAGAGAAAGGATAGATGAAGGAGATGGGCGGAGAAACGACGGAAAGAAAGAAGAGCAGAGACAAGGGCGAGGATGAGCGCGAAGATATGAGAAAGGACGAATGGAGTAACGGTGCAGGAGAGAAAAAGGAAAGGAGATATAGGGGGGGATGGGAGAACCGAGCAAAGAGGACCAGGCAAAAAAGAGACAGGAGGAGAACCGAGAAGATTGGAAAGATGATCAAAGGGGAGCGGGCACAGAGGAAAAAAGCGAAACGACGAGGGGGGGCAAGGGGAAACGAGAGGACAGAGAGAGAAAGGGAGAGAGAAAGAGAGATAGAGACGAAATGGGGATCAGAAAGGAGGGGAGGGGAGGAAAGGGGACACAAAGGTCATCAACGCAATCCCCGCCCAACCCCTCCTTGCCCAGCCCCTCCTTGCTCGCCCCCTTCTGTCCAATCCCCTGGCCCAGCGCGCACGACACGCTCATTCCCCGAACGATCCAAGGGTAACGCGAAAAATTCTCGCTGAGGTGGCCGCAGCCGCGGTGGCAAGTGTGACGACGGACCCGCTCTGCTTACACGCGCGCTGTCTCGCAGCGAGAAGCTGCCTTCTGACGTCTCACGGCGCCCGCCCGGGTGGGAAGAAGGGAGCGGAGGGGGGACAGAAAAACACTACGACACCATGAGATAGGAAGATGTTTTTGAAAGGGCCCAGGGACACACAACTAAATGCATACAAATCCCAGGATTCTCAATATGTTTCACATTTTCTGGGTTTTCGTCTTCTCCCCCACTTGCCATAGTTTCCCATCTTTTTTCTGGGGATCGGCGATTGATTGTGTCTGCGTGTGTTTTCTTTCCCCTCCTGGGTTTTGCTCGCCAGCCTCGCTCGACGATGGGGCCACTCAGAGGTGTTCAGAGTACCCCTGCCGTGCACGCGCCTGGGCCTCGGGCATCGTGCTACCGCAGGGCGGGCTGGATATGGCACAGCAGGGACATTCCAGTCACGAAGCCCGCCATCGCTCGGACGCCAATCTCCCGTGCATTTTTTTCGGTTGTGTGCGCGTTATGTTTGCTCGATGGTCCAGGATCGTCCCCAATGGCTCCCGCCGAAAAAAAAATGCACACGCCCGAGCGATGCCCAGGGAAGGCGTCCCCCGACCCTACACCCAAAGGAGCGGCCCGGGAACCGGAGCCCCTCTCCTGAGCCCGGAAGCGTTCCTTAATCTCCAGCGGCCTCGGCCGCAGAAGAGGAGGGGCCGGCAGTCGATGGGGGGGGCGGAAGAGGCGGGGGCTGGGGGAGGCGAGAGGGTGTGTCGGGGATGGACAGACCTCCCTTTAGTAAAACGTGGTTTGGTGAAAACGACCTGAGGCTCAAACCTGGCGGGCGCAAGCCTGGAAAATAACGGCCGCGGCGCCCTCTCGAGAACCGAAAACGGACAATGCACTAATCGACGTGTCACTGTTGGGGGTTCTGTCCACCCCCGAGTGTGGGGAAGGGCCGTGGGGGATGGAGGAGGGCGGGGCCGTGCTGGACAGGGCAGCGGAGGCAGGAGGAATGGAGGGCGGGAGGTGGGAGAAAGGAGCAGGTGTGCAGCAGACGCAATCAGCAGACACGTTCGACCAACCATCTTTCCTTAGAACGTGCAGGGCCACGTCAGCCGTCCATCTTCAACCCCACCAGGCGGACCCAGGACTCCTGTGGGTCACCGGGGGGACCTTCGGGGGGACGAGAGACGTCCGTGGGACACCTGCTGGCAGGCTGGTCTCGTGATGCGCCGACTGCTGGGCAGGGGGCAGGGAGAGAGAGAGAGAGAGAGAGAGAGAGAGAGCGAGGAAGAGAGACAGAGAGAGAGAGAGAGGAAGAGAGACAGAGAGAGAGAAAGAGTAACGGCGAAAGCAATGGGCCAGCACAAATGGACAGAGCGACACGCAGGGAATCGCGCAGGCCTTGACCGCAAGGCTGCAAGGAACGCCTTCCAGACCTGGAACGCAATGCGACACCAAACTGCGTCCATGCTGTCGGCCGTCACGGTGAGGTCTCCGAGACGTCTGAGGCGGCTACTGACCTCAGTGGTGCAGCCGGGGCCTGGACCAACACAAACAATCACGAACCAATTTGGCCCACGCACACAACCACACAACGTCACGCAGACAGACTTTCCCTCGAGCGGGGCGATGGGTTGCAAACACAGGGTCAGCGTAGGTGGGACACGGTCAAGACTGATTGGCCACATTACGTGGGAACGTGCCAGATAGATAGCCCTGGTGTCAGCCAAGCAGCAAAGCAAGACCCCCAGGAGCCTGAACAGGAGCGTACAGTACAAAAAGACGCAGGAACACACAGCAATGAAACACACCATACCAAGCAAGCCAGGGAGGGAGAGGGGCGCAACCAACATGCATGAACGGCACACGCAAACACACACTCACACACAAACACAAACACGGACACGCACACACGCCTGATTAACATGTATTCAAGCATGTTTACCACAGGATGCGAACTCCCTTCGCACCCCGTGCATAACTAAAATGCAGAAGGGATGGGGTACTTGAGCATGCGTGATACCTACGTCGCACACATGCGTATCAAACACGGCTCATGGTTTAGTCGCGTGATTGTGAGCATTGAGTTGCTCGTGGTGTGCAATGTGCTCTGAAATCGCGCATATTCTGTTTAACGTAACGATTGAGAACATGTTTCAGCCTGGGTTCGAGAACCATGGTATCTCAGTCCACGAATGCATCACACTAGGATCAAGCCAACACCGCTTCCTTCTCAGATGTGACTGGCGTGATCCTGTGGGCGGAATACCTGGCAACGTTTGTACGTATCGCAATCGCTACTGCCAAATGCATCTGCGATGCGTGAAACACTTGACACGTGCCCTCGGAATGAGCTTGCTCAATAGATAATGATGCACATCTGCCGCACATGTGCTACACTTGTCGTTCTTGAGGAGCGTATCGTTGTGTGTGTGTGTCGTGTCGTTCGGCAGTCTGTTCTTCATTTGTGAACACATCCTGTTGCTTCTAGTACGACATCACTTCGGAGTACTGCTTCGCATCTCGAACACATAGCAGCAATTGACGCTTCAAATGTGCTCGATCGTCGGTGATCATCATGCCTAAGATCCTTGCGTCACGAATACGTCGCACATGAAAGTGCAAACCGTATGCGATTCACAGCTGCAGTTCCACCATGGGAAGCCATTTAGTTGTAGAATGCCATTGCACCCTATGAGGCGCCAGTCCGCGCTGTCCTGGCGAGCCCGCTAGGAACACTTCCGCAGAAAGTGTCTGCGGAAACTTCGCCGAATCAGAAGACACAAACTTACAGCAGATCCCTCCGTCAGAGTCAACTGTAATGAATGAGGAACTACTGCCCGCTGCGCCAAGATGAAAACCGTAAAACGAAGTCCAATTGAGAACCACACCGTCGAAGCCCAACAGCGTGACCCAGCACAGCTGAGCTGCCGACGCAATACCGATGACGCGCCTCGACGGTGGACATTCTCGAAGCCGTCTCTTTCTGGGGTGGGGCGGGGAAGGGGGGGGCAGGGAGCAGGGGGGCAGAATATCGGGCGGGTGGCAGTGGGGGCGACCTGCATGGGGAAAGAAAAAGGCCATAGAACGGCTCTTCTCTTCGCCCCCCCCCGTAACTTTGGACGCCCGAAACGGGTACGGAAAAAATGCGTACAATGCCCGACAGCAAATGCTGTCCAAAACCATCAGCGTCCGCTGTTGGGCAGGCGGCCTCCTGTCTCAAATGGACACGGGCCGCGGCAGCGCGGACAGCGAGCCCTGTTCAGAACGAACATGATCCGCTGCTGGGCATTGTACCCGTTCTTTCCGTACCCATCCCCTTCGTGCAGAGTTACCACACGCCCGACAGGTACACACAGAATCACCTCTGCTCCTCACAGCCTCTCCCGGGGCGCCCTACACGGGGAAGGAAGAAGGCCATAGAGAGGCCCTCCTCTTCGCCCCCCCCCCCCGACACCACACGCCCGATGGGTGCACACAAGAATCGCCTCTGCTCCTCACAGTCTCCCGCGGGGGCGCGCCCTGGCCAGGTCCCAGAAAAGGATCCCGCCACCGGGAAGGCCGACCAAGGGGAGCCCCAAGCCGGGCCCGGAAACAGCGAAAGGGCGCTGGTGTGGGGCTCTGCCTCCGAGGCAGTACAGGGCAGCTTTTAATACATGGGATGTTAAAACACATTGGATTTAATATACATGATTAGTATATGAATAAATATATGCGTGAACTCCTCGTTGTTTTTAACACCGAATCCCTGCACTTTTAATTCATGACCCGCACGCGGAGCATGTATAAAAAAAACGGCACTGCACCATTACCAGCTACTGCCACCACCAGCCGCAGCCATCACCGCAGAGCTACAAGAGTATGCCCAAGCGATCCTCCCCACGCCAGGGGTCACGCTTGCGTCGGTGGTCGCCGCGTCACTGGCAGGCAGTGCGCGCTAGAATGCCTCTCAGCTGTCTTGTCGCGTTCTGTAGGCGACCCGCCCATCGCAGCACCCAGAGAGGGCGGGAGGAGGAGAAGCAGGGAGGTGAGGGCGGGAGGAGGAGGAGGAGAGGAGGCAGGCGGAAGGAGGAAGCAGCGACGGTGCCCCATTCAAAACGAGGACCCACCACAGGAGTGTTGGTTTAAAAACTGCGGGGCAATTGAGGAGTCGTGGGATGGGAGGATGAGCGACAAGCACTCGATCCCAAAACGAGGACCCAGAACAGGAGGATTGGAAAGAAAACAGCGTGTCCTCCATGCCGACCATGCTGCTCGCGTGGTCGAGCCTGAGGGGGCCGCCACGGACGGGAGAACACACCGAGGGGTCAAGATGCTGCACTCACATGCGAAACACGCGGAAAACTACCTGCTGGATACACATGTGGAGGATCGCCGAGCCTGGCTTTTATGGACGGCCGAGCGCTGGGAAGACATGCGACCACATATCATTCAAGCTCTCGACAGGCCAGCCACGAAAGTGTATCCAGCTTGCTGGTGTATGTCACTGTCTGGGAAAACGATGTCCCAGGACCCCAGGAGGCGGCGGATACGGATGTCTTTGGGGCCCTGGGGTCCCCAAACCAAACAGGCCATATCCACAGCCTCCTGGGATCCTGAGACATCGGTTACCCAGGCAGCGGATCTGTGCACATTCTGGTTTCGGAGTCCACGCCCCTAAAAGAAATGGCGCACGGATACCTGCTGGAAATGTGGGTCTCCCAAATGGGTCCAGAGACTACTGGGTCGGAGAATCGCCCCGCATCGCCGATGCATCGCCGATGCATCGGGTATGCATCTGCGCCGAATCGGCGACGTCCGGATGGAGAAAACAGGGCTCCACGTGACGCTGCATCGCGGATGCATCGGCGATGCGGCGCCATCCTCCGACCCCGTCCACTCCTGCTCCATTGAGGAGGCATGGAGGAGAAACACTCGGGGGCGTCCAAGAGGGGGGCGTCCAAGAGGGGGTTCGCAATTCATGGGCCGAGGCACGCGCGAGGCCCCGCGGGGGCCGAGGGGCGTATGGAACGAGGAAAAGGGGGGGCCATACGATCTGGCAGATCTCATGGCCCCCACAATGGTATTCACCCCGCCCTACGTCATCACCCCCCCAGTTGGCCGCCCCCGAAACACGCCAGCGCCGTGAACGTCTGCCAAATGCAGGGGACCTAAAAGATGCCGATGCCGCCACTCCCTGGGCCTCTCCAGGAGAGCATGCTGGCCAGAGCTTCGAGGCGAACCCAGCCATGGCGACGAGGGCCTCCCGGGAGGCCCAGAGATGCGACAACGATCGAAGGCCAGCGGCATCTGTATTCATCAGTTCCTCCTCCTCTGAGGCGCATTGACCCAAAGCCCCATCGATGCGCCGAGCCTGCGGACACCCACGACCGCCAGGTCGAGGCCGAGACCACGGGACACCGACTGGCGGGCCCCAGAAATCATTGCTCTGCCTCCCGCTTCCGACAAACGGCGGCGGCCTCCAGAGGCCTCTCGAGGGGCCGAACACGCCAGGGGGGCGTGAGCCACTCGCCCGAACAGGGCGGCTGAGCGACCCCAATTCCTGACGTCGTGGGGTCTTCGATTGGACAAACAATACTTGGGGCGCCCAACTTGGGGATAGACGATAGGGGGTGTCCATCCTGGATAGGGGGGTGCGTCCGAGTAACCCCCTCTGGGGGTGCATCCCCGAGTTCTCCTCTTTTCTGAGCGTCCTGATCTTTGTTTTGAGGGAACTGGGGGATTGGGGGCGAGAAATCGCCTGCCCTGACACCCGACGATGCGATCTTTCAACCCACGGCCCCAAGCGGTCCCGACCCCTTCCCTGGGGGTGGTGCTTCGCCCAAGATGGCAGGCCCCTGGGACTTGAAGCGAGGAGAAGGCCGAGGACTGACCAGATCGCGTCGCCGGAGACCCGGGTGCCACTCTCTGGTGGGCTTGTTTTCCCCCACCACCACCATAAGTTGGAGGGCGAGGGGGTCCTCCTCCTCCTCCTCCTCCTCCGCCTCCTCCTCCTCCTCCTCCTCCTCCTCCTCCTCCTCCTCTTCGTCCTCCTCCTCCTCCTCCTCCTCCTCGTCCTCCACCTCCTTCCCCCCCACAACTTATGGTGGTGGTGGTGGTGGAAAACAGGCCCATCACTCTCGGCCCCCGAACTTCGACGCTCGACTCGCCCACGAGAGCCCTGGGCCAAGCCGAGCAGATGGCGGTCGGCGCGGGCCGCCCACCGCCCGCGCGCCCGGCCCAGGCGCTCCACGGCCCGGCCGAGCCGCCCGATGGTGACCGCCGCCTTCCATGCCTGGGGTGAGCAAAAGCTGCACAAACTGGGAGGGGCTCGATGCCCTTCAGATCCTGGCGTTGCGGCGCTCTCGCACCGGACTTCTTCACCCTGTTCCGGGCCTCGGGACCCTCACGAATCGATCCGGCTCGAAAGATGACGCAGGAAGCCATGGTCCGTCGCTGTGGTCGCGACATTTTGCGACGTTGCATTTTTTGCAGCGTCGAATCACAAAGTACACACCGCGTCGTTTGGTTGGCCAAGGTGCTCGGTGTGTAGACGCCCCAGCTGCCCACCCTGTGAAACGCTGGGGCGTCTTTGCACAGAAACACACTCAGGGGCGCGCAAGCATGAATTACACTCGACCAGGATAGAAAGGATGCGCGGTAAGGATGCAAGGGCCTTGGAACGCCATGTTGACGTTTTCCGTGCGGAGCGCAGCAGAATGCCTAAGGATGCCGAATACCGATTGGGCGAGGATGCAAGGGTAGCCTTGGAAAGTTGCCCCATCCTTACTATCATGGTTGACTGTAGCGATCCATGAATTTGGCGCGCGGTCGCCAAATCCATGGATCGGGGGAGGTGCACCCATCGCTAATCCACGCACCCTTGATCCATGTTTGCGATCGCCCGACACACCGCTCCCTGGACGATCAAATGAGCTGGCGTGTACATCGTCCCTCTCTGATCAGTTCAACACAAGCTTCCGGACCTCCGAGCGGACTTCTTGGATCGGCCCGGGGCCCCCCTCCCTGGCCGGAGGCGCCGCCAAGAGGGCCCGCCGCCGACCCAAGACGAGCCCTTTTTATAACAAGCCCGCGGCCGGCCCGGCGTCCCCCTCCTCCTCCTCCTCCTCCTCAACCTCCTCCTCCTCCTCCTCCTCCTCCTCCTCCTCCTCCTCCTCCTCCTCCTCCCTCCTCCCTCCTCCCTCCTCCCTCCTCCCTCCTCCCTCCTCCTCCCTCCTCCTCTCCTCCCCTCCTCCTCCCTCCCCTCCTCCCTCCTCCCTCCTCCCTCCATCCCTCCTCCCCTCCCTCCCTCCTCCCTCCTCCCTCCTCCCTCCTCCTCCTCCTCATCCTCCTCCCTCCTCCCTCCTCCCTCTCCCTCCTCCCTCCTCCCTCCCTCATCCCTCCTCCTCCTCCCCCTCCTCCCTCCTCCCTCCTCCCTCCTCCCTCTCCCTCCTCCCTCCTCCCTCCTCCCTCCTCCCTCCTCCTCCCTCCTCCTCCTCCCCCTCCTCCCTCCTCCCTCCCTCCCTCCCTCCTCCTCCCTCCTCCCTCCTCCCCTCCTCCTCCCTCCTCCTCCCTCCCTCCTCCCTCCCTCCTCCCTCCCTCCCTCCCTCCCTCCCTCCTCTCCCTCCCTCCTCCTCCTCCCTCCTCCTCCCTCCTCCCTCCTCCCTCCTCCCTGTTCTCGGAAGTTGGCTCTTGGCACGGCCAGGCGCACAGGGGAGTCGGCCGGGCCCCTCTCAGCTGGAGTGGGCCTCTCCGCAGCGCTTGGTATTGGAGTGGCCAAGTTACATATACCTGAGAAGTGGCAGCATCGTGTGGTGATGAGGCCCATGACCCTGGGGGCCCACTCGTGGATCATCATCGGATCGGTCTACGGTGTCGACTCGATTGGACCCAAGGGCGAGAACCTCGAGCTGCTGGAGTTCCTCAGTGCTTTTTTCTGGGGGCGCAGCGCTTCCCCTTTCTCTTGGGAGGAGACTGGAAACTAGAGCCAGAGGAAATCATGGAGTTGGGCTGGCTAGATTTGGCAACGGCCACCATCTTCGCACCTGGGCTTCCAACGTGCAATGGGAAGGAGTACGACTACTTCATCGAGTCCCAGGCCCTGGACGTTTTCCCGATGTCGGTGGAAGCGGGAGTCGACGCGCGCCCATCTCGCCTCACTGCTATGTGGAGATCAAGCTTGACGGCCTGAGAGACGAGCCCTTCGTCTGGGTGGAGGCGCCGCCGAGGGCCTTCCCATTGGTGGTGCAAGAGGAGAAGCGGACAGCCTGGGTGAAGAACACTGGCGCCAAAGCGGTCGACCTCACCCAAGTGGGCGCGCCTCCCTCGGTGAAGGTGCTGGAAGAGTGGCAGCTGGATGCCCCCTTCGACTCAGTGGAGGACGCCGCAGCGTTGCGGTTCAAGGCCGCCGAGCAAAACCTGGTACAGTTGCTCGAGATACCGCTCTCGGATAGAAGAATGTACATCGGCAGGGAGAAGGGGGCGGTGCTGGAGCAGAAGCGCCTGGTGGACTGTGCCAAATCCATCCTCGAGCGCCACGACGAGTCGGACACCAGGTCGTGGCTGAGCGCGCTCAGGCTCTGGGATGCCCTCTGCGTGGCGTCATCAGCTCCTTCGGGGTCAAAAGCATGGCGACCCGAGCACTCCGAGAGGTGCGAGAGGCAGCTGCTAGCCCTGGAGCTCCCTGAGGCCATCTCGGACTCACCCTCCCTGAAGGCGAAGGATGTCCAGCAGTGGGTTGCTCTGGCAAAGCGAGAAGGCCAGCTGTCAGCCTGGTTTCGAACTGTCCTCGCGGACGAGGTTGAAGAACGCAAGAGCCAGGATTCCCAGGCCAGGAGCAAAGCTTGGCGTGAGTTTGGCGGGTTTGCAGCAGAAGGTTCTGGAAAGCTGGCGCATGCGATTGCTCGGCCAGGCGTCTAGAAGGAAGCGCCCACCTTGTCCAAGGGTCAGCCTCATGGGTTGGTGGGAGCTGCGGCGATCACTGCGGTACTTGAGGAATGGGAAGGGCTGTGGATCTCGGATGACAGGGTCCAGGAGGCGGCGCCACCGGACTGGAATTATCCCTGGAAGCTCGACCCCACTGCGGAGGACCAGATCGTGCAAGTGCGCCGCTCCTTCGGACCCTCCGCGGGACTTGGCCGGGACAATTTCCACATGAGGCTCGTGCGGTTCCTGGATGGTGCATTTGTGAGGAGGCTGCAGGATGTTCTCACGTGTTGGGAGCGCGAACCACAATGTGAACGTATGTGGGTTACGATCAATGTTTTCCTTCCAAAGCCAGATGGGGGGACCAGGCCCATAGGTTGACTCAGTTTCTGGGCACGGACTTGGAGCCGATGCAGAAGGCAGTATGTCAAGAGGTGGGAAGAGTCTGTTGATGCCCAGCTTTTCTGGGGAAAGAATGCGGCCACCAGTTGTGACAAGGCGGCATACCTACATAACATGTTGGCGTGCCGCGCCAGACGGAAAGGATTGTCGGCCATCACTGTGTATTATGGCACCCGCAGGTTCTACGAGAACGTTAGCCATCAGCAACTGCGAGAAGCAACAGGGCACTACAGCTTCGACAGAGCCTTGCCCAAGGCGCTGTGCTGCTTGTACCGCGCGCCGAAAAGAGCCAGGTGGACGGGGGGAACCGGCAGAGCCAGCCATCCACATGGCACGATCGTTGCAGGCTGTAGCGCAGCAACTGGAGTGTCGAAGCTGATGACGCTGTGCCTTCTCAAGAGATGGGCAGAAGAGGCCCCACCGTGCCGAGCGCTGAACGTGGTGGATGATTTGGCGACGCACACCATCGGTGGCCCCAAGACAGTTATTGCGAATGCTACTGCCAGCTTCGAGATTGTCACATCCGGGTTGGAGTCGAGGAAGCTGCCCAGTAATTGGGAGAAGACCAAGTTTACGATGTGTAACCGCAGCCAGCTGCCTGAGTTGGCACGGGATCCAAGGTGGAAACTCGCAGACGACAAGCTGGCCACCTCCCACCGCGACCTCGGCGGCCACTCGCTGGGCGGCAGAGCTCGGGGAGTCGGCGCGCAGGCGTCGAGGCTTGCGGCCGCCCGCAACACCGGGGCAGCCCTGCGCCAGCTTGGGCAGAGTGAGAAACAGAGTCGTGTCTATCGAGTTGGACCGCTGGCTAAAGCAACGTGGGGATCCCAGAGTTTGGGGATCCCGCCGACCACCCTCCACAAGCTTCGGGTCCAAGCCGCGAGATCCTGGGGACCTCTCCTTCCTGGGACCTCCCTGGGGTTCAGGTTCCTCTCCTCCTCCCGACTCTGGCTCAGGGACCCGCTTCTGGTCACGGTGGTGTCGGCTGTAAAGGAATTCGTTGGAGTTTGGTGGGCCAAGTCCATCTCGAAAGCTGCTTTAGAGTCTTGTGTCCAGGACGCTCTTGCTGTTCAGAAGGGCCAGGCCCCATGGAACCAGGTTCGTCAGCCTGTTGCTGCGCTTTTCCTGCAGCCTTCTCTGGCCCGATGGTCTTTCGAGTTTTCGATAATGGCCCTTGTTGATGACCTCCAGAGAGAGTGGTCTATAGATCGCTTCTCGCACAAGTTCTTCTCACACCTCTTGCGTGGCTCGGTCGTTAGGGCCATCGAGAGAGAAGAACAGCTAAAGCAGTTTGATGTTGGTCTGTGGAGTGGGCCCGTTTTTTGGAAGCCCATTCACCAGCTTCTGGGGCGAAAGGGGTCCGAGGTGTGGACGAAATGGCACAAGGCCGCGCTTTCGGCGCTTGTGCCGAATGTGTATTGGTGCCAGCACAGAGTGTTTGAACACAGTCCAGAGGCCACCTGTGAATGTCAGCTGTGCAGAGATGGCCGTGGCACGTTGCACCATCGTCGTTTCCGATGCATTGCGTTCGAACCGTGGCGCCGTGAGAACCTGGACCCTTTGGTTGCCAAGGCTGCTCGGAATGTTGGCCATCTCCCGGCTCCAGCTGGAGAGCTCTTCAGTAGATGTGTGTTGCCCAACCCTGCGGCCTGGGTGAAGCGACCCCCTCGCGACCCGCTGAACCCGTGCACGCGTCACTTCCAGTGGCCCCAGGACGGCCCCCTGTTCATTCCCGAGGGGACGCACGTTTTCACAGACGGGTCGGGAGTTGAGGGGAAGCTCACAGGCCTAGGGACCGCGGGGTGGGCAGTTGTGGTGCTTGACAGCCAATGCAGAATCTTGGCCGCCCTGTTCGGTGTTGTGCCGTTCGGGGAAGCGCCTGAACAATAGGCACGCGACGGTGAAGATTGTGCTGTGCTGACGCTTTCTCGCCGATCGGCCCTCTCCCCCAATGTCTCGCTCTATGTG